AGAATGCAGGGCTGGTTCAATATTAGGAAAATTATTACCATATCATTTCAAATTTCAGGCTGTTCAAATTCAAAGAGCTGAAGTAAAACATTGTTTTTTGTTCACCATCACTCTACGAGAAGTACTGAATTACAGAAAGCAGTTACAACAAAAGAGCTTAATGGACATTGCATTATTACATTTCTTGGTCAGTCTATGATTTTAACTTTTGCTAATTAACTGGAAGAAATATTTTTGCAACGTAAATGTGATTATGGAATATAGTCACAACTGTGTATAAATATCTTAATTGTGTTTGTCTCTCTGTGTGCATATGTGTATATATAATATGCATGCAAATATATGTATATATGTGTTAGTACTGGATTATAAACCTGCCAAAGAACAGAAAATCTATTCTATTATAGTCCATGTAGGAATAGTAGGATAAAATGCATGTCAAAATATTTTATATCAAAATTAGAACAAAAATGATAAAATTTGCTGAATATATGAATTAATACGAAATCTTGACAACCAGTCAAACTAACCAAAAGTTATGATAGATATTTAGATCATTTAATATAAAAGGGAAAATAAGAGAATTCTCTGAAACATCAGTTGTCATTTGGGGAATAAGTACCATATTCCAGAATGGACCAAAGTTAAAAAAAATAAACTATCCCATCCAATTTACCTGAAAGAAGTTCTAGAAGCAGCCTGCAAACTAAATGGAGTATGGAAAACCAATTTGTGAATTGCAGGACTAGGAAAGAATAACACAGCTTTGAAAATGAAAACTGATAAAGGAAATTGGAAACATTTCACCTGTTTTCATTTCAAACTTCAATCTTTCTTCTGCTGATTTAGACAACAGAATTCAGCATAATGGGGCAGTGGGGAATATGAACTCTAAATATGTGGCACAGAGACATGCTTAGTGCAATTTAGGGTGACCAAAAGAAAACTAGACACATTTTTAAAAAAAGTCCAGATAAAGTGTGTTCCATAAAAGTCAACTTGTCATCAAAGACTGCTTTGTGTCCCTTTCCCAAAGTTAATTGCCTAGTTTAATTTAGTGATTTCATTTACTTCTAAGGGTTAAATTTTCCCTTCTAAGCTGACAAACTGAAGAATTTCAGAATTGGTTGGGACCTCATAATTATCTAGTCCAACCCATTATATGAAAGGAATTCCCAGTAAGGAAAGCAAGCAATTTTCCCAACTCTCTCTCTCTTCCCTGCCCCTGTCTCTCTCTCCTGTCTCCTGTCTATCTCCCCCCTTCTGATATTACTTCACAGCTCCTAACCTTCATTGCTAAAAAAAAAACCTCAGCCTGAATTTCCCACTCATACTACCATATCCCAAATCAAGCTTATCACTTTTCTGTCCAAAATCAGTCCTCATTCCAGCACTACTATATCTCTAAGTGGCACTTTTTTTTTTCCACCTTCAAAGCTTTGGTAATGCCTTACCTCTTCTCTTTCTTCACTCACCATGTCCATTAAATAACTAAGTTCTATTGCTTCTAGATCCATATCTGTTTCTTTCCTAACCTTTCTACTCTTGCTGTCATTCTATTATTAAAGATCTTTCTTGCCAAATTACTTGAATGTATACAATATCCTCATTAATTTTTCTTGACTCTTGCTCCTCACACCTCCAATCCATTTGTCATAACTGGAAAATATTTTCCTTTTGCAGAGATCTAATCATTTTACTTGGGTGGCTGGGTGGTGCAGTAGATAGACTGCCATGCCTGGACTTAGGAAGAGCTGAATTCAAATCTGGCCTCAGACACTTACCAGCCGTGGGACTCTGGACAAGTCACTTAAACCTGTCTACCTGTTTCCTCATATGTAAAATGAGCTAGAGAACAAAATGGCAACTATGCCAGTATTTTTGCCAAGAAAACCCCAAATGGGGTCACAAAGAATTGAACACGACTGAAACAACTGAACAACAAACTGTGTCACTAAAATTCTGCCATGGATCCCTACTGCCTGCCTACTGATAAACAGTATATATATATATATATATATATATATATATATATATATATATAATATATATATATACATATATATATACATATATATACATATACATATGTGTGTGTGTGCGCGTGTGTGTGTATATATATATATATGCATACACAAATATTCTGACTCAGTTCAATAAAAATTGGTTACATTTGCTATGCTTAGCATTAAAGATCCTCTATAATTTGAAACCACCCTATCCTTCCTGCCTTATTTTACGCTACTTATCTCTCATTTCTCAACATTTTCACCAAACTCAATTACCCTGCCTCCCAAATACACCCTATACTTTACCACTTCTGTGCATTTATTCATACTATCCTCTATTCCTGGAATGTTTTTACATCCCCTCTTTGCTTCTTGAATTCATTTTTTAAATCTCAAATGAAAAATCTCTTTCAAGGAACATTCCTGCATCCTACATATTTAGAAAACTTTTTTTTTCCCTTTAGACATTACTTCATACTTTCTAATGCCCCTCTGCATATATGATATTTAAAAGTTATTTGCATACATGCCCAATCCCCCTTAATAAACTGTCACCTCCATTAGGACAAGGACATTTTTTCCCCTAAACTTTGTTTTTCACCTTGTCCTAGAATAGTTCTTTCCATAAGTAGGAGCTTAACATTTGTTTCATTGAATTAATTAAAATCAAGGCTTTAAATGTCATCAGAGGATGAGAAAAATAGAAAGACTTTTGAGAGATTTTCTAAGCTGTTCTTCCACTTTAATATAGGCTCGCACTTGCATGGGCCTAGAGAGGAAAGAATTTGTTGCAATTTTAAGTTTATAGGATAAGGAACTTGCTTAACATGTTCTCATAATTCATTTAAATGGCCAAAAAAAAAGCCTCAGTCACCTCTAGCCTTCTTAAATCCATACTGAAACCCATCTAAGTACCAAACTGGTTTTTAAATCAGCCTTCTGTTCAAAGGCAAAAAAGAAATATACTGAATACTGGCATAGTGATACATAAAAAAGAAATTCAAGTCATGTGAACCAATATTTATTAATCTCTCACTATGTTCAAAGTACTGTGGCTAAAAAGACAAAAACAAAACTGTTGCTGCCCTTAAGAAGAAACAACACATACAGAGATAAATAAATACAAATTAATTTAAGGAGAGAAAAAGGCACTACCAAATTGGGTAAGGGGAGATTGGAAAAGTTTTCAAGGAGCTAGCACCTAAACTGAGCTCTGAAGGAAGCTAAGAGGTGGAAGATCAGATGGCTTCTGTACCAAGCCATGATCTGCAAGAGCACAGAGGTGGCAGATCAAACACTGAGTTCAGGAAATAGCAAAGAGGCCAGTGTGGTTAGAATAGAGATGATAAAAAAGGAAGTGACATGAAATAAGCTGGAAAAGTAGCTTGGAACTTGACTGTGAACAGCATTAAGACCCTAGGTAAGAAGTTGGTATTTTAACCTAAACGTAATTGGGAGTTATTGAAAATTTTTCAGCAGGAAAGTGACCTAGCCTTAGGATGCTAATTTTGGCAATTGCATGGAGAATAGAGGAGAAAAAGAAAGATACTGAAGGTGGGGAGAACAATTAGAAGATTATTTCAGTACTTAGTCAACGGCTGATAAAGGTCTGAACTAGGGTAGGAAACATATCAGCTGAAAGAAGGAAACAAATGATTTCCTCCCCTAATTAACATGATTCTGAAATAAGTAGAGAACAGGTGCTATCAGCTCCTTGAAATCAAAATCTATAAAAATATAAATCAAAACTTAAAAGCTGCATCAATTGTAAAACTTAGATAACAATACCAAAATCTCCAGGCCACCCAAATAATTTGCTAAGTTTAATGAAATTACTGAATAATCAGACACAAGGTATGAAAAATACCATAATGTCAAGACATACGACAACAAATGTGCTGTCATGCAAATATGTGGATAACATTAGTGATCTATTGTTCATTAAGTATGCTTTTTAAAGGTTTCTTTTCCTCTTACTGCATGATGATATCCATACTCTTTTCCTTTGGGAATATGGTCCCACATTATGATATAGCTAACCATCTTTTGGTATGGAGTAGATAGTGTCTAAGGAATATTGTTTTCTCTGTGGGAAACATGATGGAACTTTAACTGCATGTTCTCAGCAATTGAGCTTTACATCATGACAAACAATTGCTGGTGAGATTTAGGCCATTTTGCATGGAGTCGTTCATTCTTCAGAACTTTTGATTTCACAATTGACTTCATAGAAAAATATTTATAACACAATAGCACATATAATACCAAATCTTTTAATCTGCATAATTCACTTCTCATTATTCTTCTTAGATAATTGACCTGACCAAAAGTTCCAGTTTTCTATTTGTTAAATACCATGTTAAATGTTCCTAAAAGATATAATGATCATCCCAATAAGGATATGAACAAAGAGCCTAAAAATATGATAGCTTTTTCACACAAAAAAAAAAACAAGGTTCAAAAATAGTAATGTATAGATGTTTTGCTACTAAAAAGTAAAAATTACCATGAAACATCTAATTCAATGAAACTGGATGACAACACCATTATTGAGCATTTTCTAGTAAATATACCAACCAGTTTATGTTAGTTGTTTTTTTTTTCCTATAAGGATCTAGCTATGATCCATCAAAGAATAATTTAGGGAATAGTTTAACCATAGACTTCTACATTCCTCCATCATCAATTTGCTTTGTTCTAATCACAGAGCTCTGAACTTAAAATTTTCTAGTAACATTTTAGGTAACTGGCTTGTCACTATGTTTTTAATTTCTAAGTTAACCAGTGACCTTGCTAATCCAGACTTTGACATTTTACTGGATAGTGACAGAAGAGGTTAATAAATAGCAATGAAAATGGTTGCTATTCCTATGCATCTTTCTTGATCCATAGATTATTAACTTAAAATAAAAACTAAACTGGTTAGTATTTCTTATCTAGGGCAATTGGGAGAAGATTTGAGAGACAAAATGGAAACATGGTAGATGTTACCTAGCATGTTGTGGTAAAGTGGAATGGCCCGTCCATGGGTAGTAAATGCAGTCATGACTAGAGGGACCGCTACACCTGCAGGCAATTACAGAACAGAAAATATCACTGGCCATTCACAGGGACATGCACACTCATGCACCCTGCTCACACTTGGAGCACCAGGAGGGAGAAACATGGGAAGTAAACACGCCAAATACCTATCCATCAGGCCGATGCAGTCATCAATACTTGAGCCTATGCACCTGCAGCATATCCAGATTTGTTAAAAAAAAAAAAAGAAAGAAAGAAAGAAAGAAAAGGAAAGAAAAAAGTCAGTTATTTTCAGAAGGATTAGAAAAAAACAAATATCTTACATATCGAATTCTTAATTATATTTCCTTAGATGGTTTCTAAGGTCCCATGAAATTAAAGTCTGAGACAAAATAATTATTTGATATAAATGGAGTGAAGAAATGAAATGATCTCTCAAAGAGAACCCATAGAAAATAATTTCACAGTAAAGATAATTGATTTCTGTGGCTCTCTTCCAAACAAGCAGAGCCCTTCCAAAATTTGTAGATTCAGTTGTTTTGCTCCATTCACACATAACTATATTGGTGAAAATCTGATAAATTAATGGCAATACAATGATTGCTCTTATAAACTTAGCTTCTTTTAAAATTCATTTATATTCAAGTAAAATATCACTATGAAAATTGTTTGATTACTCTGTAACTTAATGTTAACCTTAGATTGATTTGGTTAAGAGTGGGCATCTAGAAAGTGAACACACTGTTGGACTCAGCACAAAATCGACTATAAGATTCTATTTCATAATGGCAACTGTCTTTAAAATACACTTAAATTTAAACATGAATTCATTTTATACCAAATAACTTGCTTTCAGTTTAATTTGACAGACAGTCTCCTTTAAAATAGCCCTATTTTGACAGGCCAACCCTCTACTTCCTCCCCCCCCCAAAAAAAAACCCCAAAAAACATCAGATGTGTGTGTATGTATGTGTTTAAACTGCCATTATATGGAAGCCAACAGTAGTGAATAAACATCCATTCTGCAAGCAAATGAAGAAAATGAGATCTAAGTAGGAATCCCTTGAGGTTTATATTTCAATGCAATTGCTTTTTTCTATCTTGTTTGTAAAATGAGCTGGATAAGGAAATGGCAAGAAAAGTTAGACATGACTAATCAAACTAAACAACAGCAAACTTTTGCGTCTGTACATAGAAAAATGAATGAACAATTTCTGAAATTTAGATGTCATGCAAATTATTTTTTATTTGCCTTCTGAGGAACCTAATTGTTCCCCCTTCGGAAGATCTATAAAGACTCTTCCAGCCCCAATTTACTAGCTCAGTTATGAACTCTAGGCATGTTTTGATTTTCATTTAGCTGAAATAAAGAAAAAAACAGTCCAAAATTAGAGCCATTGTAAATGGACACAAAAGTGTTCCCATTTAAATGTAGATTGTCCTTATTACTTCAGATAATTCACAGAAATTAGTGATCAGTTTTTTTAACTGTATAATACCAGCTAAGACAGCCTATCTCTTGACTTTTTAAATATGAATCTTAACATTTTGCTTATTAAGAAGTACTTCTTCATTAATGTCTGAACTAAAGTGAGAAAGATGAGTATTAGCCTCCTTAGCTCTAGGACATTAACCAGTGATTCAAATTACAATAATGGTGATTTCATATCTTTAAGTAAACATGCCACAGTACATTTGGATCAGCATCATAAGGATATACACACATATCTACATCTATATCTATAGTCCTCCCAGAAATAGCCTTTTTGACAGACAAGGTTTTTGTTGTTGTTGTTGTTGTTGTTGTTATTCTGTTTTGATTTAGTAAACAGAGTAGCAGACTCTAAATCTCCAAACGTGGGGAAAATATTAGATACTGAATTTCTGCTTTTGATAAACAAATACAGAAGAAGATATTTACAGGCAAACTTTAAAGGTGAAGAAATCTAAAAATGAACTCATACAGACTTTTGGTTCAACCTCTCTCATGTGGTTATTAAGATTATTTGTTCTTCTTCATATTAGAACTTAAACTATTTAAGATCCTGAGGACAGAAAGTGTCTTTCTTGTATTTGTATCCTTAGCACATCACACATTATCTTTCAATTCAATTAACACGTATTATGTGCCTACTATGTGTCAGGCACTGTGCAAACAGAAGTGGCTTAATATATGCTCTGCTGATTGATTAATTTGTATCCCCCAGAGAACTACTGTACATGGTAATCATTTACTAAATATTTATTGAATGAATATCATTTAAATGCTTTTTGAATCGGAATGGAACTCAGATAGAATAGGTATATAAGATTAGATGTTGGGAATCTCTCGATTCAAGTTAAATACTAGCTTTTAAAATATTTCCTTGGTGATGCAGGCTGCATTTCATTGTTTAGTTCACTATGTAAAAGTAGTTTTGTGGCATATTTAATTTATTTTTACAGCCCAAAATTTCACCAAAATAAACCCCTAAAATGTTATAAGCAGCTCAAAAGAAAATTATGCAAATTTAGCCTGATGAAATTATGAGGTGAAGTATTAAAATTCTTCAAAAGAAATAAAATCTCCTAGTCACACATTTTCAGAAGGAGCTGAGGGAGATGCATATATCTATCTATCTATCTTTCATTAAGTTATATCTAAACAATTCATGTAATACCTTATTCTTAGCTTTTTATCATGTCAGGGTAGTATTTAGTGATTAATACCTTGATTTAGTATCCACAGATAGGGCAAAATCTATTTTTATTATCCTCATTTTCAGTTGAGGAAAATGAAACAAAGAGAGAGGGTAAGGCACTTGCCTGGAGTCACACACCTAAGCAAGTCTCTGAGGTAATGTTTGAATTCAAGTCTTCCTGACTCCACACGATACACACTATCCACTCTGTCACCAGCTGCCTCATGGCTAGAGACCAGTCTCTTTTACTCTAGCTATACAGTGACTACAGTAGAGCAACACCTAGTTTGGTTGGTTCCTTACAAGCAGTATGTTTCTCAAGTCCAGGCTATCAAAGTTTATTTTCATGCACCCAGAAACATCTTAGATGATCAGCAGAAGGCTGACAGCTCCCTAATTTCTATTAAGGTATTTTCCACATTTTCTCTACATTATTAACAACATTTCCTTTTTTTAATCTAATAAAACTGGAGTTGGTTGATGTGCAAAACAATCCCAGTAAGATGCAAACAATCAATTTATGGTGGCTACTTTTTAATGGTTGTTTTGAATGTTTTCCAAAAATAATGTGAAAGAAACATATAGAATATATATATGATTTGACAATAGAAATAAACCACACATTAATAAATCTTTTATGTTTGTAGGATATCAACAATATATTAGAGCAAAACACCATCATTTATTTTTACTGAACAAATGAATTTCCAAAAAAGGAGGAATTCTAATCATATCTGACATTCCACTTTTCAATTAGCAATTGATCTGAAGAATCATATACAGTACAAAAAAATAAAATACAATGTTTAAACCAACCCAAGTCTCTTATGCCATGAAATGTCCTATGTTCCTAACCAAGCTATCAAACCTGCAGGGAAAGGAGTTTAAATGGTAAGACTGGTAGCCTTCTACCTTCTTTATATTGGAATAATGTGATTTTACATCTGTGGAATTCAGTAGAATTCTAAAGAATTTTTGGATAGAAATACGTGCTGTTAATTACATAAAACTTAACAATTAAGCTGGAGGGCAAAATTCATTTTCTTAAAATATATCTTTTCATAAATCCATTTCCTCTGAGGAATTCTATACTGATGGGTTTATTGATACATAAAAACAACTTATTAGAGTCCAAATATAGTCAACTGATAAACCTTGATGATGAAAAGTTGGTTTAAGATACTGAATATTGTCCAAAGGGTAATAGAGATGTCTATAATGGACACAAAATGGATGCAATGGATTACATATAAGGAGTTGTGACACAGAAATAGTGAAAAAGATGTTACAAAATGTAATTAAAAAGTTGGGCTGGTCATATAGCAAGCACAAGGAATAACTGATAAACAAGCTACTTGCTCCATTTGAATCCTTGTGATTTAAGGTTAACTCAAGGAATCCATTAGCATGACGTGCATACACTGTGTTGAACTTATGGGAGGATATTAATAAGAGTCACAGAGGACAGACAGTGATGGCTGGGCTGTAAACTCCATCATTAGAGGATAGAATAGTATCAGCTGGAGTACATGTACATTTATACATCAGAACATTGGCAGTCACAGGATAGATGATACACTAGATAACCAAATAGATATAGATTAACATATGTGTGTGTGTGTGTGTGTGTGTATATATATATATGCATATATATATTACTACTTTATTACATATAATTGTATAACTATGTGTGTATATGTGTGTGTATTTCAATGAAAAATCCATGATAATGCCTTTTAGGGGCATGAATTAGGTCTTAATTTTCAGGGTCTAAGCTGGCAGAAGAACAGCTCTGGAAAGTTTGACTAAGCTAGAAAGGCTTCGACTAACAGCTTAGATGCAACAGATCTATATTGTTATTCTCTGGGGCCTAGCCTAAATAAATTCAGAGAAACTCATCAACAGATTGGCTGTAGTGATGACTGTTTTGTCCATAGAGGAAATTTCCTGACCTTGGAAGGATCATGGACACTGATAAAATGATATATCTTTGAAGAATTCTGACAAAAGTATGTACAGATGACACATTCTATGCCATTTCTTATGACCATGTTATTGTCAGCAATAATGCTACAATCCATGTATACTCACTGTGTCTTTTTGTTTATCTTTGGGTTAAACTACAATTTTGATTCTTCTGAGATCAGAGTTTTATATGATTCATAGCCCTATAGCAAATATTGTTTGAGAGATATAATTTTTTTTTCAAAAAGCAGTTTGGTATCATTGAAAGTCATGTAATTTCCCCAAAGTAATACATCATGCCTTCTTTGTTCCTATTGCATTCTCATCCCAGCTCAGTATTCTCAACAGCTCTAACTATCCAAGGTACATGTGCCAGTGAGTTAAAACCAATCATCCACTCACTCTTATCAGCTGCTTATCAAAATATGAATTATATATATATTTTTCATCTGCTTAATTTATCCTGGGAAGATTATTAGGGCAATCACTTTTGAGTGATCATTCATATTGGTGAGAAGGATTTGTAGTGTTCTGGATTTTTATGTAATCAGTGCAATGTCATCCCCAAGCCAGAGTAGCTTGACATCTTCACCATCTATTGGCATTTATAAAGAACAAGGTAGGCTACTGGATGGAGCATTAGACTTAGAGTCAGGAAGCCTGAGTTCAAACTCAAACTATTTACCACATGTGTGATACTGGACAAGTCATTTAAACTTTCAGCCTCAGTTTCCTCACCTGTAAGACAGAGATAATTATAGTACCTATGTCACAGGGTTATTCTGAGGACCACAATAGGTATCTACATCTATATTTATATCCATATCATTGAGAGAAATATGTCTATGTATATAGAACACCCATATGTACAGATGACATATATTAATGTATTTGCATATATATTCATGTTTGTAAATGAATATGTGTGTATATATACATATATATATATGTGTGTGTGTGGCATATATTTTGCTTGACAAAAGTTAAAGATCTCTATAACTGTCAGTTATTATTATTACCCATTGGAAATCTTTCTTCCATTTGGACTTTGTGCAGTAATTCTTCTATGACACTTTTGAAAATACACATGTCCTCCATGACACTGGAAATTTATACTAAATTCCTCACCAGGATGCTTCTATGTGATATGTAGATGATACTGGGTCCATCTAAGCAAAGGACAAATGTTGATAGGTACTATCAAGTCACAAATATTTCAGAAGAGGGCTTGATGATTGTTTGCATGCATGTATGTATGTATGTATGTCTGCACGCATGCATTCCTTCATTCATTTATATAAATTCAAAGGCCAGCCTAGAAAAATTAGGAAAGGCTCAGTTCTTGGGAATGAACTTTCTGTTCATGAAACCACCTACTAAAGCACGGAAAGCTAACATCTGGGTTAGTAAAAAGAGTACTTTATCAATGTAGTCACACATTTTGATGAATTTAAATATATTTATTTCATCTGAGGTATGCATTATGACCATCACATTCAACATAACTTCAGTGGAGTAAGGGCTTTTTAGATTTCATGCAGATGAATTTGATTTTTGGATCTCATTAACAAAACTAAAGATAAGTATTTTCTTTCTAAAATGTGATGAAAAGGCCATTACAATTAACTTAGTTCTTGGATTATTAGACTGGCACTTTTGAGACTTATAATAGAGATGCTGGTGGCTATAGGAGAAGCTGGCCCAGAAAACCTATACTTGAATCTCTAAGGTCAGGTAGTTATATGCATGTCATTAAACACATTTCAAAATGAAAATAGTCATTAGTTGCATCACCTGACCAAAGGTTCTGTGATTTTAACATAGGCTGGCTTTTGTATAGTCAATTTGCAAAAGAAAGATTCTCTATATAATGTATTTCATCAAAAGCTTTCAAAGTAAAGTGTTGGCCAGTAATAGAGCAGAAATGGGAACTCCTAAGTCCAAAAATCATAGACTGGGGCTTGATTCACTTGTCTGACTTCAGTGATCCTCGGCACCAGAGAGGCTGCTGGAAGAAGGGGAGCCTAAGGCTAAAATGCAAATGAAAAACACAGAGTTGAATCAATCATTAGAGACTCTACTTAGGCATATGCCCCTGAACATGATGCATTCCAATTCTATCCGCCCACAACTCTGTAGCCTCACACTGCTAAAGGCTGGTTCCTTTCTATTTGCTTACAGTCCCCAGGTGAGCTTTTGGGATTTGTTCTGTAATGCACCTTCACCCTCCCTCCTGGCCAAGATCCAAGATCTTGCCGTTCAGAGAAATGATCTCTTTTTCACAATTTCCTACTTCTATCTTCCCACCTATACATAATTCCCTTTATTACATAACTGTGATTTAAAGGAGGTGGGAGAAAGACACATCAGCAACAGATCCAGACTGTGTCTCTGTGATCTCATTTTCATTTCCCTAATGGCTCCATTGTAATTAGATTTGCAAAAGCAGCAAAAGGTCTCATTTTGAATGGCAACAGCTGTTGACATCAACATTATATTGAATAATTTACTGGTTTAATTTTAGCTGCAAAACAATAAAACCCTCTTGTGGATGATTATTTTAGCAAGAAAAGATCCATCTCCCCTCCCCCCACCCTCTGGTGACACTTCCTCCCTTTCCAAAGGTACCAGTTGTTCTTCATGAAAGATTTTAACTCAAGTGAAATACACACTCACAAAACATACATCCATGCTAGTCCCCATTTGTCGCTTCTTAGCTTCCTCAATGAAATGCCTCTTTATGACGATTTCAGTCCCCACAGGTCTCTGTGCTAGCACACATTAATCAACGAACTGACAAAGGTAGCTTGGCTGAATTGAACTTGAATGGCAGGGTTTTTATTACTCCACCTTATAAAGACTGCCACTGAAGAAAAGAGCTTAAGGCTCTGATGCTCATCCTACAGGAAATGGTTGAAACACCTCAAAATGGATGCCTTTTCCTCTGGCAGTAGTTGATGTTGGTTTATTAGCTTCTGCAATATCCCCTCACCAGCTGGTCACTAAACTGACAGAGGAGAGCTTGATGGATTCTCATACTTACCTGCCAGAGATAACGAGTCCATAATAGGACTTTGTATTATAGTGCAGTGGGGCAAAAAAAACACACAAACAACTCTTGGTTCTAGAATAAGTTGGTTTTAGAAGGTAATAGGAAAAGGCACTACTAAAAATAAAAAGTCCTATAAGCTGTTGCCTTTTAATAGGTGGGTTAAATTAATTCTCCACATTTTCTTCTGATTTTTTTTTCTTCAATATATATATTTTTTTCTTTTTTTTCTGCTTCCTTTGAAGTGGTTTTGTGGTTAAGCTTCTCATTGTCTTTCTGGATCTTTGCCCCCTAGTTGGAGTTCAGAAAATTCCTTAAACAAAGCTTGGGTAGGGCTGTGTCTTCAGTCTTCCCTAAAGGGAGTAACAGATTCTTCAGCAAATGTGTGAGAACCTGATAGTCACTGTAAAATAAATCTTATTGACTAAATAAGAAAAGAGAAAGACACATCTTTAAACTTAATATATCACTAAAAAAGAATTCAAGGTTATAAGATAAGATGAGATTAAAATTGTCTTTCAAAAATGTATGTGTCCGGGTCATTTTTTTTTAAACATTTCTGTTTTGTCAAATTTCTCTGTTTCATCTGTCATTCCCACTTGTCCTGAAGGAGTTGGCCAAAGCTCTGGATCAAAGGGATAGTTCTTCACTGAAAAACATCTATGACAAAAAAAGGAAACTGTATTTTTTTGCCAAGATTTGTCAAAAAAATCAACATTACAAAAATATTATTGTCAACTCTCAGAACTGGAAAGGAACTCAGTGGCCCTTGCATTCCAAACTCATTCCGTAGCAAAAATATTCTCCAGTTTTAGCTGGAAAACCTACCATGATGGGAGATTTTTATTTATTGGTCCTATTTCAAGGACCAATCAAATGAATTTAATGACAATTTTTCCATTTTATACTACATCTGTTCTCTTAAGCCACTATTTAAATTATATATTAAAAAAAACTATTGTTACATAATTGTATAAAGAAGAACAATTCTATCACATTCTTGAAAGTTCCAAGTTGTGTTGGACTTACGTTGATTTTCATGGAATGAAAAATAAGTTGATGTATTGTCTCACTTCAATGGCTCTCTGAACTCAAAGCATTAGACATAAAATAATAATAGAGCCTAAGGTGAAAAGCACTGCAAAATGAGTAAAACGTTTCTTCTGGCCAATTTAAAGCCCCTAAAATCTGGTCTTCCACATTTATAAGTCAAACTTTGCTCTTTGGGAAAACTTACCCTTGGGTGCAGTTTGGGTGACAGGGGTGGCATTCATGGTCCTGGTCAGCATATTTGAATATAAAGCTACTGGCCCCCTGTAATCCATCAGGACATTTTTCCACACAGTTTGGGCCATCCTTAAAATGAGAACACTTAGTGCAGTTATCTGGCCCCTGCAAGTGAGAGGAGAAAGAAAAATGGATGAGCTTTCTTCTGAAATTACTATCGGAAGCTGGCTTGCTAGGATTACATTAGGCATTGTATCCTCCAAGACACTGGAATGCATTTCCAAAATAATGAATATGGATTTAGCTATGTGAAGACAATTAATTCTAATGAAAGACACACAAACAGTTCTTGGAATGCCTTACTGCAAATATGACCTTTAGAAGATTAAAAAAAGAAAGAAAGAAAAAGAAAACAACAACAACATAAAAACCAGTTTTGGTTTTGGAATATTTACATTTGTTTTTTCTTTATTAGCATTTCTTGAATCTACCTTATGGACACAAATGTAGCTTTTCTTCTTATAATTTTCCCTGTTTTGCCCCCAATCTTAATGGACTAGAGTGGCAAGTGATCAATTCAATGGGATGGGGAATAACAGCATTTCCTGTGCATGATAATTTAACAATAACATTAGACTGCAACAGCATCTGGCAATTCCACATTTGTTCTGAGGCCATTTCAATCAACATCATTACAACTTTGAAATGGAAAGTAAGGACCCTGAAAACCATTGCTAAAATACTCAAATGGAAACTGTTTCCTTTTGTACAATGTGCTAAATATTAATGATGAATGAAAAAATTCACAAAAAGCAATAAGCAGTTAGTATGTTTCAAACACTATACTAAATCCTGGCAACGTAAACAGAAAAGCAAGATAGCCCCTGTTATCTAGGAGCTCACGTTCTAATGAGAAAAGACAAATCCAATAAGTTTTGGCTTAAAGTCACATAGAAAGGCCTTTTGGTCCTTAGGTTTGACAACAAAGTAGATGGTAATGCACCTTCTTCAGTGTGATTTCAATTGAGAAAAACCTATGAGCTGAACCATTTCATGGTGCCAAGGAATTTGGTGGTGAGAATGCTCTTTTCTAGGTCTTCAGTAGCTGCTGCTAGTGAGGAAGCAGAGAATGTAGCCCCTGAAGAGGTAGATACCTGACCTCATTTCCCAAAAGTCATCTGGAATTTAAAGCTCTCACAACTTGGACCCTTCCTAACTTTTGAATCATCTTATACTTCATTCTCTTCCATGTACTCTGTGATCCAATTACATCAGCATGCTTACTGTTCCTCACACAAGACACTCAGTCTCATGTTTCCATGACATTGCACTGCCTCTTCTCTATATCTGGAATGTTCTCCCTTCTATTCTTTTCTTCTGCATATCTCTGACTTCCCTTCAAGAAACAACTTGAATCTCATCTTTTGTAGGAGATCTTTCCTAGTCTCCCAAATAGCTAGGGCCCCTCCCCTACGAAATTACCTTCCACTGATTCTGTATAAATCTTGTATGTATGTAGTTATTTAAATGTTATTTATATCAGTAGAATGAGAGTTCCTTGAGGATAAAGACAGTTTTTGCCTTTGTATCCTCAGCACTTGGTACAGTGGCTGAGTAGTAGGTGCTTAATCAATGCTTGATGATGGATTGATTTGCTCACGTAGGGGAAGAAAGGATACTGGGCCCCTTCTATGTAAGGACAGCTCCACTGGATAATCATTGCTAGGGCTGGGCTGAAAGTAGGGACATATGGGGAAGGATCCAGGTGCTGCTATTTCCAGGGCTCTCAAAAAGAGCAAGTAACAAGTTATCTTTGTGATTATATCTATCAGACTCTCCTAGAATCTCATCCTATGCATGGGACAAATTTTGTCAGGAAAAAAAAACCAAACGTCTTTAAAGCAAGGTTTTGCTCTACTTCACTGAAAGAGAATATAGGATCCTGTAATACATGTATCCATAAATTGTGTGACTTTAAGGAGGCGGTCCAATCTACAAAATCATTTACTAAAGTCTGCCTCCTTTCTTATATTTTCACCAGGATAATATAAATCCACCAGTAGATAATTTTTTTAAAATTTTTACAAAGAAAAGAAAGTAGGCATATGGATTAGTTATTGAAGTCCTCTCAATTATTGGGGGTTTTTTTCCATTTTAAATAGCGTCCTCTCAATTACCACCCATATTTGTTTCTAATTGTTTGGGAGTTTCTCCTCTTTTAGACATATTGATATTTAGTTTCTTAGTATCTTCAAAAATCTGTTGCCTCCAGAACACATTTCTGTGTGTGCTTTGTCTGGCCTACTTATAATGACTTATATGTCTTCACATTTGGCAAAGAGATCTGCTGGCTCATGAGAGTGTGCGGCTCTCTTAGTTTCCTTGTTGTAACAATAACTTTCTGCCAGTTAAAATTCTGTTGGAAATGACAATATTTGGAAGTAGTGAGTAAAGTTAAAATCGATAAAAGAAGTACTGCATCTCTCCTCCTTAACTCTAAGAACTAAATAAATGACATTCCATTTGTCTAGAGTGGTAAATAGGAAAATCATGGAATCTCAGAACTCAGAAATAATTTAATCTAATTTCATTGTCTTAAAAATTATTTCATATAGGTACATCATATAGTTACATAGGTGTTTATGGAGTCTAAATATAGGGGCTCCACTATCAGCATTGATGAAAAGTGATCCCTAGAAATGCTAATAAATCTTCTTCTTCACATCTCCTGGTTATCTCCCCTTCAGTTTTATCTCTAACTGCTTTGTTTAACTCTAATTGCTTTACCTCTAGCTGATCTAGTTCAGTTGAGTTCCATGTGCCTAGCTTACTGAATCCTTCTGTTGCTTTGTGAGGTAGGTCTACTTATACACGTCAAAGGATCAAAGAATATTAACACTAAGAGATAGTTCTCTTGTTTTAAAAATGTCCCCTTCGATATCTCTGAGAAGCAGTTTTCCAGCCATTCTTGAAGACTTCAAATAAAGAAAATCCCACTACTTCCCAAGGCTACCAAATTTACTTTTGAATGGTTCTAATTGCTAGCAAGTTTTTCCCTACCTTGAGCTTAAATCTGACTCTGCAACACCCACCTCTTGCTTTTTTTATTTTCTTGGGCTCAAAAAGAACAAATCGAATCTCCCTTTCCCATGACAGATCCCATGACAGACCTTCAAATACTTGAAGACAGCTATAATTTCTTCTCTAAGCTAAGAATGCCCACTTCACTTAAATAGTCTTTTTATTATGGCATGGTCTTAGGGCCCACTACCATTCTGATTGTCCTCCTCTGAATGAATTATATCTTATCAATGTCATTTCTAGAATGTGACATGAAGAAATGAGCACATACTCAAGATGCAGCCTGAACATAGCCTTTCAGCAGGACTACTATCTCTCTAATATGGATACTATACTTCTCTTACTACAGCCTAAATTCACATCAGCTTTGTTGACTGTTGACAGATATTGAGCTTGCAAGCCACTAAAATCTTCAGATTTCTTTCACATAAACTATTTTATAGCCATGCTACTCTCTTAGGCCAAACTCTATGTTCAAAACAGCTAAGGTGGCCTTGGGTTAATTTAAGAGAAGTATAGACACCAAGCATAAGCAGGTAATAGCCCTGAAGCAGTCTACACTGGTCATATCACATTTGAAATATGTTCAGGTCTGTACACTGTATTTTAGAAAGGATAATTACTAGAGAGCTTCTAGAGAAGGACAATCAGAATGGTCGAGGGCTATAAATCCATACCACACAAAGGATAGCTGAAGAAACTGAAACTTCTTTGAATGGAGAAGACGTCACTGGTCTTTTGATATTTGAAAGGATATTATATAGAAGAGGAATTGGATTTATTTGGTTTGCCCTCCAAGGACCAAAACCAAGAGTTAGAAGTTGTAAAAAAAAAAAAAAGAAGAAGAAAAAAAAAGCAAATGTAATCTTGATATAAGGGGGAAATTTTTTTTAAAAATAAGAACTATCCAAAAGTGTTGAAGGCTACATTAGAAAGTAATGCATCATTTCTTCTAACAATGGATGGGTGACCACTTGTATGCATTGTAATGAAGATTCTTTGATGGAATGAGTTACGCACACACATCACATATATATTATACATGATAAGTATAATTAACTAATAAAAATAGTTTATCATATTACATCATTATAATATTTTACTATTATATTATATTTTTATATTATATAATTGTGTATATCATATATTTGTTATTTACATGTATAATCATACCATTATATTATATTATTTGTCATATTAATAATATGGTATGACATTAATTATGTTATACTGCATATAATATAGATGCTGAAGTTCCCTCCCTGAGATTTTATATTTTTTATCTTTATTTATGAAGTAAATTTTTCTACTGTCTCTACAACTTTGTAAATAAATTTATAGACTACATCAGTTTTGACTTTCTAGCATGTCTGTGTACTTGTTAAAAGATCTAGTGGGGTTTGGTTAGTTCAACTAGTTTGGTTGTTTTTTCAGTCTGTGTAGCAGTAATTACTTAACAGTTATTTGTTGGAAATGATGATATTTGGAAGTGGCAAGAAGAATTCAAACTTCCCAAAGAATCTGAGCATGGCTCCTTCCTGACTCTTAGCTCTTCTTTGTCTATATCCAATTGCTTCCCATTGGTCTAAAATGGTAGGTGGTTGTACTGTAAAATCCATGAATTGCAAATGACATCAAAGACCATTTAATCCAATCAGGACCCGAATGAGAACTCCCCAAACATCCTCCAGCCTCCACTTGATAACCTCTAATAAAGAGAAACTCTCTCTCTACCAAAGCAGTTCATTATAATTTTGCAGAGGCCAAAAGATTAAGAAGCTTTTTCCTTGCATGGAAAAAAGTCTGTCACTACAACTTATACCTATTAATTGCATATGAGGATTTTTTTTGGGGGGGAGGGAGGTTGTAGGTTGTGAATAAACCTGTATTTTCATCAGTATGGGGTACTCTAAATGTAGAAACTTCTTCCACTAATGATAACTGGCAACTCAGTTACTACTGTCCAAAGATTATAGCTGCTTGAGACACTGAGAGGTTAAGGGTTCAGGGTCATAAAGACAGAATTTGTCCTTTTTTTATATCACAAATTCTTCTGTGAGTTGTATAAAACACTAGATTCCCCA